TCTTTGTTCATTCCTCTCCTGACACTGCCCTGCACATTCCAGCCACCTGAGCCTCTGAAGTCCTACGCCTTTCTTTCCAACCCAGGGAAACTACTGGCCTCCACCTGGATTCTCTCTTCCTGGGATGTGATCTGGAATTTCTTTCCAGGCAAAAAACTGGAGCACTCCAAGGGCTCACCTCATTTGTTTTCCCTCCCTCAGAGATCACTGACCTAAGCTGCCTGTTGTCCAATATCTGAAACTGTTGTTTCATGTTCTTTCTGATTGTTTTAGTTGTTTGATGTGGAAATGTAAATCTGGTCATGGTTACTCCATCTTGACTGAAAAAGGAAATCAGTGCATAAAAATTTATGTAAAAGACCACTCATCAAAGCATTCCTGTTCATGAAGAGTAATTGGAAATAGGCAAAAAGGAAGAGGAGAAAAGAAAACAGGAGATGGTGTAATATATTGTGACATCCACTAATGTGAACTTTACAGCCATGAAGAATAATGTTTTCAAAGAACATTTACTGACATGAGAATGTAGTTATGAAATTATGTTTAATTACAAAAGATATGTGTACATTAGTTTTGTTATTTCAATTTTACAAAAATGTATATGTATACATTGTAACATAAAGATACTATCCATAATCTTATATATTATTAACACACTTATCTATATTAAATTCAATATGCAAATTAAAAGATGTAAATATAATATTATTATATGATAAAGTATGTGTAATTTTATAATATATGGAATATGTATAATTTGTATTACATTAAAATACTTCTTAAACAATGTATATATAATATATTAATATATGTAATAAATTAAGTATATAAAATATGTATACCTTATATAAGTATATACTTACATATATTTTAGTATGTGTATAGAAAAGAACATACATATGGTCTTTAATATAATATACACCCATATGTGTGCATTCACAAACATGTCCAGAGACAAAAAGACTTGAAAGCAATATACTAAAATGCTAGTAGTATATTTCACAAATTTTTATGGCCAATGTATAAAAATTATCTAATGAGAACATTAATCAAACTCTTCAAAAGCAAGAATTTCAATGAAGGAGAAGGAATGCTAAATTTTAGCATGTCAAGATATTTATTGGGCAATCTATTTTTAATGAACATAATCATCATCATCATAACAAATATAAATAGCTCTCTTATTTGACAGGCGCTATTCTAAGTACTTTTTCATGTATTAATCATTTAATCCTTAGAACGACCCTGTCAATAGTAATAATTAGGCTCCATTGAGGAAGTTGAACAAGGAGATTTTAAGCCACTTTTCCCAGCTAGTAGGTGGCAAAGCAAGATTTGACTGCAGGCAGTGTGACTTCGTTGTCATTTTTTTATTGCACGTTATGGTGTCCCTGTAAAGAACAATGGTGTTAGAAAAAGCCCAAGAAAATTTCTTGCTGCAGTCTGGGAAGAGAGCCCCTGGTGCAAGAAGGTACCTAAGTCTTCAGCAAGAAGACTTAGGAATAATCAATTGCATGAAGGGGCTCTCATCCAAAAACTCGGAACTGGGCACTTGGCATGGTATGCTGGACTTGTTCTGGGCCAAATGCCTTATGTACTAGATCCATGATTTGAACCCAGAACTACCCACCTCTCCTGTATTTTCTAGTTGTAACCATACGCTCCTTACTATGTCATGTCTGACATCCAGGGACTGAAGTTCTAACTTTGCTTTCTTGCATTCTGCCAACTATAGAAAAGAAAGATGTAGTGGGGATGGGGCTGTGCAGAAAGGAGAGGGGAGGGCTGTTAAAAATGGGCACACTGAAATAGAAGTGGTTCATTTTCTGCCAGGCCCTCTCCCTGAGTCACAGGGACTATACTTGCCCAGCAAATATGAGCAGGGAAGAAAAGGGCTGACACAGATTCTGCAGAGTGTCCACCCAGGCAAGGCTTCCCATATGCTGACACCCTGGGGTTATTATTGCTTTGGGTACATGAGATCACTCAGAATGGAATGCTCATTTAGGTTTAAACCCAAGCTATAAATCAAACATTTCTCTTTTAATATAGCGAAGTTTTAGATTATTTTTCAAGAACACCTGGGTGCAAAATGAGGTAATCTTATATGGTAAGGAGGATAAATAACTGAAACTGTGTTCCCACAAATGTCTTTAGCCTGGAAAGAACACTACAAGGCCAACTGCATACACTGCACATCTGATTTTCCCCCTTGAAGAGGGTGTGAGAGGTTTTAAATGAACCAGCAAATTTCACAGGATTCTAACCCCCACGTTGGATTCTGCCTTGCTTTCTGCACCAGATAAGTGTCAAAAAGTATTAAGGATTGTGTTCTTAAATTGACTAAATGTTCTTTCTTTTATCCAGACAAGTCTTGTTTACAATCGTTTCTTCATTCTGCATCCCGAACTTCCAGTTTGCAGAGGTAGAAAAATCAATATGAATAGCTTAGTGCTGACAAATGAGGCTCCAATTACCAATACTTACATGCAAGACAGCAAAGATTCTTATCCACTTAGCTCTACTTTTTCCTTTTTGTAAATGATGTTTGGCAAGGTGGATCTAGGTCTTATTCATAGTTATATCCATAAGCACTATTTTTCTTCTACATGTGCTACTGTTTTAAAAGGGAATTATTTTGAGGATGGGATTCAGCAACTTGTTACATAAGATTCTAAAGGTTTGTCAAATAGGAATATTTTCATTTTTGATTTTGTATTATCTTTTTGGCTAAAATAATGAAAGGAGAGAGAAAGGAGCATCCCCCAGTGGACAATGAGAACTAGATAATAGTCTCTTAATACTCCATTCACATGCTGATGCCAGACTTGATTATATCCACTGATGTGTTAAACCAGCTATTTTCAAACTTTAATGTACACCTTGGTCATCTGGGGATCCTCTTAAGATGCAGATTCTGTTTCATCAAGTCTGGGAGGAGCCCAAGAGTCTACAATTCTAACAAGCTCTCAGCCGATGTAGACGCTGCTGGTCCATGAGAAATAAGGGTTCAAGAACTACTTTTTTGTGTCAGTTAAGGTTCTGGCAGAAATAGATGGTAGACTCAAATTGGAAACTAGAGGAGAGGTTAGTAATGGGATTATTTATTTATATAAGTGTGGGTATTATTTAGAAAAGCAACAAGATTGGCACAGAGCCTTTGGCTAGTAATGCCTGAGAGGGGCGAGGTTCACAGTCAGGAGCAGGCTGTCTGATTGAAAGCAGTCTTGTCATTCAGTAGGCACTGGAGCCAACCCAGAGTGACTCTGATGGGGAAAGGGTGGGGAATGGCAATAGACATACAACTGAACCTCCTCCTGCCCTACAGCTCTACCGACAGTGCCTCCATTTGCCCAACCCCACAGAAGGCAGTAGGGAGAGGGTTCAAGTCATCCACATAAGCTTCCTGGGCCCCTCCCCCAGAAAGGTGGAAAAGGGAAAGTGGAACTGGAAAGGGAACAGGAAGATATCTAGTAACATATTTTACCTAAATTCCTAGATGGTTTAAACATGCCTGTCATAGTTCATCTTACAATTAATTATAAGAGGTACCATTATCAAAAATGTACCACTAACTGGAAAAAAGGCTGCCAATCACACTTCTGACAAACCATTGATGAGTAAAATGGATCCTGATTTGAGAGATATTAAAGTTTGAAAAAATATGCCTTAGAGTTGGTGAAATATAGCAGTTGTTTCTTTTTCTTAAATCTTCTCCAAAACCAAGGGAAGGATGGTGTGAATTTCAATAACTGTCTAAATAGTCTAAATAAGTGTATATGAAAAGAATTTTCATCAAAATGTTTTCTCCCTTTCCTCAAAATAATTTAAAATATAATTGTTATGTCAATAAGATATACTATTCTACTAAAGGTACAATGTAGGAATAACAGGTTTAACCAGACCTGTTACTGACTACTGACTTTTTGGGGTCAAAGCTAAGACTTGTTCTCTTATAGTTTGAGACCAAGAAGAGGAAGAGACTGGTAGAGATTGAATGTAAGTGCAAAGCGAGCCTTTGATTGTTACACTTAGGTTAATGAAAGTGTGAAAAAGGAATTATATAATGAAAGAAGTTGGGCTACTTTAGGTGGAATTTTACCTGGAGTAGGTTTGATTATTTATGGAAGTTTTTAAGTTGTTTTTGTTAGCACGAAGATACCACAAATTAACAGCTTCTTTTTAAAAAGTTCCTAATTCTGATAGGTCAATGTCAGAGCAAAAGGGAAATTTCCTGCTATAAAATATATGTCAATTATTTCCTTGTACTGTAATATAGTGATTACACATTTAGGGTCTAAGTGGTTTACACCTTAGACCTAGGCGCCAACCAGAAGGATCTTTGTGCAGGCTTTCAGGGGTGACACCAGAGTTTGCACTGGCACAATCTATTCTTACCTTTACTCTTAATGACTTTATCTTTAGAAGCTCTTGGTATGTTTCTTTATTCTTTTTCTTAAAAGACAATAGCTTTTTTTTTCAAACCTAAGTTGATACCATCTCAAGTCATCAGAGGTCATATATAATGTCATTACTCCTTAAAAGGGAAGAGGTCAGATCTCCATTTCTTTCCTTCCAGGAAATTCCTTGGTCTTCTTGTGTATTTGCCCCTACCATAGGCCCTCAGGTTCAGCACCCCAAGGGATGTTGGGTAGGACAGCATTTAGGAAGCCAAACATGATCTATCATACTATTCCCCAAGAGCTGTGAATGTCTATGCTTCTATATTGCCTGGCTATGGGGGCTGTTCCGATAAGTCTTCTGAAAACAAAGATCTGTTCCAGGGCAAACATTGTCCACTACTACAGACCATATAGTAAGCACCAGCACCTTTTACAGGGCAGCTTCTCTCATGTTATTGGAATACAAAAATACGTGAACAAAGCCTATGAGGGTCACATTTGGATGGTCACACCAATCCTCAGTAACGTGGTGACCAGGAGCACTTCTGTTCCTCCACTTTCTTTTTTGACTCCACCTACTCCTGGGTGCTGTCACAATCCTTCAAACATATTCACAGAAAAATGGATGAAAGGCCCTTGAGACATATCTAGAAAGACCACAAAGTCTCTAGAAAGAACATTTCTGTAAGAATTCTACAGACAAAACAGAAGGGCAAGTGGTGGGAGGATGTGAAAAGCAAAACAAAAACAGAAAATCACCCTTGAAATGGGAAAAAGATCAAAGGAAATGGAATTCTAAGTAAATACTATGAAATAGAATAATAAGGCTGAAAATTCAAGTATGTGGTAGTAAAAAAATAAGTAATATTAACCATCTTGAGTATTCTTAATGGCATTAGAATATCCAAATGTATTAATGAATGATTTACTTAATTTAAAGCATGTGTTGAATACCTACCAAGTGTTGGACACTGTGTTACGTCCAGGAAGTAAAGTAGTGAATGCAACAAAAGAGTCGACCTTCATGAGCTGAATGTCTAGTGAGAAGCAGGCCTTGCACAAATATCTACCCTCGTGGTGACAGATGGGCAGGAGGAATGTGGTAGTGATGGGAGTTCGAAGGAAAATCCTTGGTCTACCTGGAACATCTGGAAAGTCTTACCTGAGAAAAGGAGGCTTAAGCTCAGAACTGAAAGGTGAGTAGAAGAAGAAAGGAAAGTGAACTGAATCATAAAAGATTATACAACTAGTCAGCACAGCACAGAAAGTCTTCATGACATGCTCACGGTTCAGTGGTTATTCAAGGAGACTGGAATTACCAGGAGGGCTAAGGTCTGGGCATATTTAGATAGGAGAAGGCAGCAGGAAAAAGTTCTTATTAATATTTTATCATTACTAAGACCTCATGTATCACAGCAACAGAACAAAATAGAACAAATCCTAGCACTGAGATACCTAGAAATTGAAGTCTTATTGTTATACTTTGGAGGCAGAAAAACTATAGTTCCAACCTTTGATTGTTTTGTGGAGGATTAACATTTGGTTAGTCTTTGGAGAGAGACTAAGAAATATCTTTGGAAAGCTTTTGGGGGCATGGCCTTTAACTCAACCACAAAACCATTAGTTTTCATTTCATCCTGCTGAGATGGTTTTTGTTTATTTGTATAAGGGAAGAGTTCTGGAATTTTATTACTTTTAAAAGTCTTTATGGCATATACATGCTTAGATCAGTCTGGTTAAGGAACAGAATGTCAGTACAAAAAAGAAATCACATGTGAGCAGATTTCATCTCAGAAAGGGTAATGATTTCATTGCTTAAGGGAGAAGGAAATAAAGACAAGTGTCCTTTTCCAGGTGAATGAATTATTAGATTTAAATGATTTATCATCACTGGATGGCAAGGGGTGAGCAGGGGACATTATCCACCATTCTTCCCTATCTCCTGAAAGTACTCTATTCACATATTTCAGGAAATACCATTGTGTATCATTTCTTTCATAAGTCTATTAAAGAAGTTACACAATCTTCTTTGGGAAGCCGGTGCCGTACTATTGCCATCCTTTGATGGGTAATGTCTAGTTTCCTCTAGTGTCTAATCTAAACTTGTCTGCTGCTATATATACTTTAATCTTTTTTTTTATCCTATTGACCATGGAAGCAGAAAATGCATTGCATCTGCAAAATGGTGTGTTATAAAGCTTTTATTCCTCTATTGTCTTTCTCTTCATTCAGTTGTGCTTATCCTTAATCAATATTTGAAAAGGAGAGTAGTATCTATAAGAGTAAAATAGGAGCACCTCCAAAAATACAAGGCCAGAGCTACTCCTTATATAAGTCAAGAAACGATAAGAGATTTCCCCTAAGGGAGCTTGACCTGGATTTAACTTGATCTTCCCCTTCATCCTGCCTTTCACTAAGAGACTGTCATGAATTTGATGTAGGTTCTCTGGAAATCACTTGAAGACAGGCTTTTAATCTGGTATGCTTATTCAAGGGATGTGATGAACCTGATTTTTCCCTCCCACCTGAGAAACAAAGAAAAAATGGTCAGTCAGAGTCTGGGAAGTTCTCTTTTGGGAGAATGCCATGCTGAGTTCTTCATATTTGGAGCATAAGTTTGGTTCTTCTTTGGTCACAGGGACAACTTGGTTTGCTTGCACTGGATCCAGTTGCTACTGATAGGAGATCAAATGGAGATATATGGGATATATATGATGCCATGGAAATATCTATCCGTATCTATCCTGATCCTCCCTTTTGCTTAAGGGACAGATATGTTACTTGCCCCACCTGTTGTTACCCGACCTTCCCTGTGAGCAGTTTTCAGTAAACCTGATGTCTTGCATTCCGTCTCCTAGATGTCTCCTTTAGTCCCTCAGCAATGTATCCCACTACCCTAACACAACAAGTCTGTGGACTGTCTTGAAGGAGCATGATGATGTTGCAGTTAGTTCTTATAACTCTATTCCCTAAGTCAAGGTAATAGATGGGATGGACAGTGGAAGTTATTTATTCTGAGTATAAGCCAAGAATCATAATTTCTCATGAATTTTATCAGTTTACAGTGGCCGAAGTTCAAGTTGTAGGGGAGAAAAAAGAAAATATTTCTTTGGTAAAGTAGATGTGAGCCGGTGAAAGTCCACAAGAAGCTAGGTATTGGATTAGGACTCAGAGCATGTCATTTTACTTTCCAGATGTAGATTTGGAGCACCATACAAGAGGCATTGAGCAAGGCCAGTGTCACCTCATCCAGACTCACTGTTTTCTGAAAATAAAAAAATAAATAAATTCAGGAAAGAATTTCTCAAAGTATTAATAAAGAGAAACATCATAAAAGAAAGAAAAGAAAATCCAGCTTGAAACAAAGAAATAAAGCTACAAAATAAAAAAGGCTAGAGGAAAGTATGTTTCAAATTCATGTTCCTGTATTAAATCCAGAAGAAATCATCAGTAAACTACATGGAAATAAACAGAGAAAGGGTAACATAGAAACTCTAAGAAACAAAAATAGAAAAATAAAATTCTAACATTGAAAAGAACAAGTTGTAATAAGAGATGTAGAATAGAGAGAAATTATAGTAGCAGTATTAAAATCCATAGGGGGGAAAAACTGATGAGAGTGAACTTGATTGACATTGAAGAGAGAAGATGGAGAGTGAACATGTAGGTAATTGATGTCCCTAAAGAAGACTAAGTAGATAGCAATAAATAATACAGATAAAAAGATATACCTGAGAAAAACAATGATTTAGGAGACTCACTTTTGTTTATACCTTGGTAATGGAAATATAATGTATTATATTTTGGATGGTAACTCTTCCCTGATGTTATCATTCTAGGAAAGAGCATAGTCTTGGAGTATGCATAGGAGATCTTGTGTCAAGTACTCAAACTTTTGCCAAGAATGGTAGTTTTTAAAGGTTAATTGTAATACAGAAACTGAAATATAAAATAACTTTCATATTCAGTTACAGTAAAATATATTGGTTTATCTCATATGTTGAATGGATTTTATTTATTATCTGAAAACATTATACATTAAACATTTGGAAATATATTGTTGCTGAGTTAGGCAGAACTTCCAAATGTAAATATATTGTATTATACAATTTGTTAAAAATCATATTCATTAATCTAACCACCAATCTCATCAGAAAAGTCTAAGTATTGGAGAGCTGACAAGCTCACAGTAATGGTTAAAAGTCTTCCGAATATCTAGTTTTCACTTGGAAGTTTGAATTTTGTCATTGACTAAAAATACTGTCAGTTACCTTGAAATGACAGGCTTACTTATTAAAAGAGAATGCTCAAGTTGAACTTACCATAGTTTGTCTGTTAGTTGTACTTTCAAGTGAAAAAGGGCATTCTGGTAAAAATGGTTAGTTCAGGTTGTAACTCAAACAACTGCCTAACAGATTTTCTCAAGATGATTGCTATATTTAGGTATGCTTCAGAAGTGCTTCATGTGGGTTTCCCATGTTGTCAATTACAATATGTGGTGACTAACATGTAGTATAATGTAGTACCACTGTCTTGATTTTTATACCACTGCTTTGGACTCTCAGTGTTCAAATGCCAACACCATAAAAATATAACATCTTAATATTATGAAAATAGTTTTGACATCATGAACGCATTAAAAGTTCTCAGAGATCCCCATGGGTCTGTAGATCACACTTTTAGAACAATTGTCCGATAAGCATCCAACAGATAAATACAGTTTTCTATAAAGGAAAGAAAATATGGTTATCACTGTAATACTACATGTGAAAATATAACAGAGCGACAGAAATTTTGAGACAAAATTTATGATCCAAGATATTTTCCAGAGTCTTGGTAAATGTATGTCCCTCTTAAAAGACAAATATTTTATGAGAATCAAAAATCAAAATGCATTTATATGTTATTTTAGAGAGACAGACCTTAAAAAGTGACTTAAGAAAAAGTAAAAGGATGCAAAAATGTATTTTTAAAAATTTAAGGTATAAAGAAAGAAAGAGTCAAAATAGTATCGAACAAAAATTTACACCAGAAATCACTCAACAGAACTTAGACTGTTGGTTATTACATTGGCCATTATTTCATACTATTGAAAAAAGGAACTACTTGACCAGCATTATTATACTTCCCTAAAGGCCAACCACTGGCAAACACCATTTTACTTTCTGCTTCTGTTCATTCAGCTTTCAATGAGAAGATGAATAAGTTATGTAGATCTAATGAACAACTACCATCTTGTGAAAAAAATCTCTTGACAAATTGTTTGAATTGCAAGCTGAATGACCATTTTTTCCCAGAATGCTTTTTTTTTAAAAAAAAAAATAAAGACTTTATAGGAAGGACAGCAGAATAAAATAGACATTATTCTTGCTGTATGTATATAGGTGACTGTATGACCAATGTGATTCTGCAACCTGTACAATCAGAAAAATGAGAAATTATACCCCATTTGATTCAAATGTATGAATTGTCAAGATCATTGTACTGTCATGTGTAACCAATAAAAAAATACTTTTGTTACTTAAATCTTCAAATAGTCAATTAAAAAAATTTGTTATATATGACAGCAGAATGCATTATAATTCATATTACACATAAAGAGCACAATTTTTAATATATCTGGTTGTACACAAAGTACAGTCACAACATTTGTGTCTTCATACATGCACTTAGGGTAATGATGTCCATCTCATTCCACTGTCTTTCTTACCCCCATGCTCTCTCGTTTCCCCTCCCTCCCCTTTTCCACTTTGCCCTATCTAGAGTTCATTTAATCCCCCTACTCCACACCATATTATGAATCCATAAATCAGAGAAAACATTTAGCATTTGATTTTTTGGGATTGGTTAACTTCACTTAGCGTTATATTCTCCAACTCCATTCATTTACCTGCAAATGCCATGATTTTATTCTCTTTTAATGCTGAATAATATTCCATTGTGTATATATACAAAAAACACATTTTCTTTATCCATTCATCTATTGAATGGCATCTAGGTGGGTTACACAGTTTAACTATTGTGAATTGTGCTGCTATAAACATTGATGAGGCTGTGTCTCTTTAGGATGCTGTTTTTTAGTCCTTTGGGTATAGACTGAGGAGTGTGATAGTTGAATCAAATGGTGGTTCCATTCCCAGTTTTCCAAGGATTCTTCATACTGTTTCCACATTGGCTGGACCAATTTGCAGTCCCA